GTGAACATTTGTGTACAAGTCTTTGTCTGGACATATGCCTTAATTTCTCTTGGGTAGATACTTAGGAGGGGAATCGTTAAGTCCTTTCTTCAAGGTTCATTTTAGCACTTTTTAAAAAAAAGATTTTATTTATTTTTATTTTATTTTATTACAAGCAGGGGAGAGTGGCTGGCAGAGGGAGAAACAGGCTCCCTGCTGAGCAGAGAGAGCCCAATGTGGGACTTAATCCCAGGACCCTGGGATTATGACCTGAGCCAAAGCAGATGCTTAACTGACTGAGCCACCCAGACGTCCCATATTTTAGTGCTTTTTAGTACATTCACAGGATTGTGCAGCCGACACAACTCTTTCATTCCAGAACATATCTTCATCACCCCAAAATGTATCTTTAATTTTTAAAATGTTTTTTCTGTCTTACATTCCCACCAGCAGTACTGTTCTACATCTTCCAGTTCCATATCCTCACCAATACTTTTTAACCAGGGGCGCCTGGGTGGCTCAGTGGGTTAAGCCTTGCCTTCAACTCAGGTCACGATCTCAGGGTCCTGGGATCAAGCCCCACTTCGGGCCCTCTGCTCAGCAGGGAGCCTGCTTCCCTGCTCTCTCTCTTTCTGCCTCTCTGGCTACTTGTGATCTCTGTCAAATAAATAAACAAAATCTTTTTTTTTTTTTAATAAAGATTTTTAAAATTTATTTGACACAGAGAGAGAGAGAGATCACAAGTAGGCAGAGCAGCGGGAGAGACAGAGGGGGAAGCAGGCTCCCGCTGAGCAGAGAGCCCCATGTGGGAGGACCCTGAGATCATGACCTGAGCCTAAGGCAGATGCTAAACCCACTGAGCCACTTAGGCGACCCTAAACAAAATCTTTTTTGAAAAAATATTTTTTTTTAACCATTCAGGCATGTTGATAGTTTTTTTTTTTTTTTTTAAGATTTTATTTATTTATTTGACAGACAGAGATCACAAGTAGGCAGAGAAGCAGGCAGAGAGAGAGGAGGAAGCAGGCTCTCTGCTGAGCAGAGAGCCGGATGCGGGGCTCGATCCCAGGACCCTGGGATCGTGACCTGAGCCGAAGGCAGAGGCTTTAACCCACTGAGCCACCCAGAGGCCCCTGCATGTTGATAGTTTTATCTCGTGGTTTTTGCATTTCCTTAACGAGTAATATTGTGGCTTATCTTTTCACATGCTTATTCATCTTTGGTGAACTATCTGGTTACTCTTTCGCTTATTTATTGAATTGTTTGTTTTCTTACTGAGTTTTAGAGTTCTAAGTCTGTTGTCAGATACGTGGTTTGCACATATTTTCTCCTTCTTTGTCTTCTCACTGTATTAACAGCATCTTTTGAAGAGCAGAAGTTCTTAATTCTGATGAAGTTCAGTCTGTCAGTCCTTCTACACGTTGTGCTTTCGGTGTGATACCTAGGAAATCTGCTTAGCTCACATTTCTGACAATCTTGAAATAGAACTAAATTTTAGACTAAGCGCAGGGTCTCCGTTAGGTACCCAGAGGGCATTTACATTTATCATCTGTGTCCTTCACCAGATATACTGGAGAGTCAAAAATTGTAGGGGTCATAAATAAGCCAGTTATCAGTTGCCCAGTCATCTGTCCGTTATGTGAGCATGCCTGTACTTAGCCAGTTCTAAAATGATGCGGGGTTCCTCACCCCCATCTGTCTCCCATGTTTCCTGACCTGGCTCTTTTGCTGTCAAATGAACGCCTTAAGAAAGAATCAGTGTTAACTTAAGAAAAATAAAATTTGGAAGACAAATCCTCTATCCTTCTCTTCCTAAAAAATCCCAAGTACACATGACTTTTTTTTTTTTTTTAACATAAGGCAAATAATTACATGGCTCCTCTTTTCCATGAAAAATTTGACAACTTTGTGATTTTAAGGAGTTTCCTGAACCTGGGCTTTCTTCCCTCTGGAGTCTCTCATCTCTGGGTGTGGCTGGACTCCCTTTGTAAAAGGTAGTTACAGAGCTGATTAGAAAGGATAATTTTTTTTATATTTTTATTTATTTGACAGAGAGAAATCACAACTAGGCAGAGGGGCAGGCAGAGAGAGAGGAGGAAGCAGGCTCCCTGCGGAGCAGAGAGCCTGATGTGGGGCTCCATCCCAGGACCCTGGGATCATGACCCGAGCCGAAGGCAGAGGCCCCAACCCACTGAGCCTCTCAGGCGCCTCTAGAAAGGATATGTTTTAATTTTAAGTTCTGTATTTGGAAAATTTCCTCAGTTGTGGGGCTCATCTCAACACAAAGAGTGAAGGCTAAAATATGTTCTGTAATTGCCCTGGTTGAAGGATTGAATTGAAGAATATTGTACTGGGTGAATAAGGGACCTATTACATTTTACCAGGAACCAGTAATAGCTCCAGAAATTGAAGAGGTGGGGAGATACTGGGCCTAATAGTAATGAGCCGGCAGTCATTGGTGTCTCTGGTTCCTTTACATCTTCATTCTCATTCTTCACAGAAGCATGGGAAGATAAAACTATCCACTTTTTACAGATTTAGGAATTCACTATAAAAGGCCCAAGGAGGACAGATTATTTACCTCAACTTGCCCAACTGGTAAGTTTCAAAGCCCTGATTTGAACTAGAGCTTCTCGGGACTTCTTGGGTCCCAAACCCCTCGGTTTGTCTGTTGTCCCAGAGTTTGTCTTGCATTTGAATATGGAGCAGATCTAAGCTGCTTTTGGGGAATAGTATTGAGAACACTCCTGAAGTCATAGCATTCCGACCGACCTTTGTATGACCAGCTTTGGAGTATTAGGAATCTCAACACTCTTCCCATTCTCTTCTTACGAGTATTGATTTTGCCTCTGAATATAAACCAGACACACTTAAAACTTCGTTAGAAATGTTAGCTGTTAAGTTTATGATAGTTCTCAAGAAAAGGTAAGATCATACTGTCATTTAAATATGAAATGAATACATGTCAAAGATTTTATCTCATTAATTGAGAAAATGGGGAAAATGTTATAACCAAAGAATACAAAGAGCAGACATTAAGTGTAGGTCAGTAGAGTTGAGAAGAATATGCACGTGAGCACAAAACTGGCCCTTGCCCAGGGGAATAGAATTCCCCAGCTAGAATTCATTTGCGTATCCATAGACAGGGGTTCTCTACACAAGTCGGTCACTGGCAGGGGAGGGCTGGAGTAAGCACAAAAGAAAGTGCTCTAGATTTAGAGTCTAAATAATGCATAGTTTCCCACTAGAGACATCCCATGCTGCTTTTAATTTCAGATTTGCTTACAGAATATGAGAATCTGTAATACTGTTTTACTTCTTTTCTTCCACATTCAAGTTTTTAAATACTTGTTTAAAAATGGTTTGGGTAGTAAGGCTTTTCTGAATTTAAGTCCCAGTGATTGCATATTAGGCTTAATCTGTTCATGTATTTTGGAGACATCATATGAAGTATGATTTTTTTTTTTTAAGATTTTATGCATTTGAGAGAGAGAGCCAGAGAGAGCACATAAGGGAAGGGGCAGAGGCAGAAGCAGACTCCCCACTTAGCGGGGAGGCCAGTGTGGGGCGCGATCCCAGGACATGGAGTCATGACCCGAGCCGAAGGCGGACGCTTAACCAACTGAGCCATCCAGGCGCCCCTTAAAGCTAATGTACTTAAAAGCATTTTCTACTTTGAGTATCTCTTAGGATAATAGCCACTGAGCTTCAGCCCTTCAGACAAGTTGTCAGACTTGCAGTACTCCTGCATTCCTAGTATCTGACTTGAAGAAAGAATCAAGGGTTTAAAAGTCTGTAGAACCATACACATTGGGTAAGAGTTTGCTGCTCTGACTTGTATTTCCCCTAGGGGTAACTTCCCCACCCTCCTTCTAATATCAGAGAGAGAGAAATGCTATATAGCCACAGTTTTTGATTCCTTTGATCTGTTAAAAAGAACATTCAGCTGAGTAAGTTTTCAAGATCTTTCTGGCTTTATTCAAGAAGTCATGAATAAGGCAGCGTCCCATCTAGCAAAGAAGGGAATTCCAAGGAGCTGTACAAATTAAAAAGACAGGGAAGTTATACTAGTAATAAGTGGATTGTTCGTGAGAAGATCTCCTGTGGGGTACAGCTGGGGTCTGTCAGGCAGGTTACCTCACCAGTGTTGACCAGGTAATTCCTGACTTACTGGTTTAAGATTCCATTTCTGGGAGCGGCCAGAACTATAATTAAGTCTCAGTTTGGTGATGCTGGGTTTAGCCTAAGTGACTTCATTTTGTGCCTGTTGTCTTTTTTTTTTTTTTTTTTTTCCTTCCAAAGATTTTTAATTATCTGACAGAGATCACAAATAAGCAGAGAGGCAGGCGGGGGGTGGGGAGTAGGCTTCCCACCAAGCAGAAAGCCCGACGCAGGGCTTGATTCCAGGACCCTGAGATCATGACCCAAGCTGAAGGCAGAGGCTCAACCCACTGAGCCACCCAGGCACCACCCCCCGCTTTTTTTTTTTTTTTTTAACAGCTCTTATTCTTTGGAGAGGTGGGGTTGGTGTGGTGTGGTGGTGAAAGAATTGAAATTGAAGTTTGCCTTTTCAGCGAAACGGAAATACCTTTGGAACTGAAAGGGTTCTTGGATATCCTGAAGACCCAGCAGCCATTGAGGGTCCTTGTACCCTTCAGTTAAATGTGTGAGGAGTGGGCTGCCATGCAGGGAGAGCCCTGATTGGGGTGTGTTCATGGGACAATAGCAGGAATGCTCTAGGGGAGAGAGGGTGCTAATGCAGCCTTGACATGTGTAGTGTACCGTGATTTCTGGCCGCTGCTTGTGTTAAGATGGGGACCTGTAGGCTGCCTGGCTTTAGTGAGGCTCTTCACCTCACCTGCATTTGAACAGTGTTTGTCTTGGTTTGTCTTGTCTGAGTTCTGGTTGAATCTGTCTGCCATTAGTCTCCATCCTTCCTCTACTGGGAGGGAAAAGGACCCATTTGTTTTCCATCTGATGTAACTCACCCTGCCTCTTTGACTTCTTTCCTTCTTTCTTAGTGGCAGTACCATACAGCGTTGCCTAGGTTTCCCTATTTGGGACCTCTGGGTCGTGTGTCCATTGAGTGGTGGGAGTTAACTTTTTGACATCTAACCTGAACAGGTATGATACTACATTTACGTTATTTGTTATACTTATTTTAGAGCTTTAAAAAATTCCCGTGTGGGGGCATCTCTGGGTGGCACAGTTAGTTGGGTTAAGCATCTGACTCTTGGTTTCCGCTCAGGTCGTGATCTTAGGGTTCTGAGATCAAGCCCTGGGTTGGGCTCTGCCCTGAGCACAGAGACTGCTTGGGATTCTCTTTCTTCCTCTACCCCTCCTGCCCATGTTCTCTCTCTCTCTCTCTTTCTCTCTCTCTCAGGATTCTCTCTCCCCCTCTACCCCTCCTGCTCATGTTCGTGTTTTAAAAGTTCCAGTGTGGAGCTAGTTTATCATTTGCCAGACTGGGTTTCTTTTACTTGGACATCTTGTTTTGAGAAGGGGTTAGGAAGGAATTGTTTTAGAATATAAATCTCACTATATGAAACACCTCAGTTCACCATGGTTCCTGTGAAAGTACTGGGGAGTAAAATACGTTTGCCTGCCACACAGAATTGCATACAGTTCCTAATAGGACCTTCTCCGGTCTGATGAAACTGTCTAAACTGTCACTGGCAGAGTTTCCCACCTTCTCAGAGAAGGATTTTAAGATTTGGCTGATGTTTCATTTCATCTAACTCAGGCAAGAAATCTGTAAGAGCTGTTCCAGTCGATCAGTGCCATCAGTTTCGGGTCCTCAGTGTTCCTTACGTTATCGACAGTATCGCATTCTCCGATTTGAGCATTCCTTTGTTCCTGTACTCACTTCCTTTCCTATAAGCCAGTGTGTGAAACCATTAACTGAACTTTACCCCTTGATGGGCTGCAGAGAACCTCGTATAGTGTTTCTGCACCCCTGGTCTGCCAGCACAAATGGCCACAGATACTATGAAGTGGTTATGATGCAGCATTATCCTGCTATGGTGTTCTAATGAAAAATTCAGACATTAAGTAGTATCTATAGTTTGCTGTTGAAGAACAGGTATTTTTATTTGTTGTTAAGAATGAAAGACAGTGTGCCTCAGTCAGTTAAGCATCTGCCTTCAGCTCAGGTCACGATCCCAGGGTCCTGGGATCGAGCCCGACGTCAGGCTTCCTGTTCTGTGGGGAGCCTGTTCCCCCCCCCCGTCCCCCACTCATGTGTGCATGCGCACACTCCCTCACTCCTTGCTCTCACACTCTATCTCAAATAAATAAATAACAATCTTAAAAAAAAAATGAAAGCAGACAGAAGATAAGGTGGTAATGAAACAAGGAATGGCCATAAATTGAGATTTAAGATGTTTGGGGACTGTGTATTAATCCTAGGGAAAGGTTCCAGGAGTGTTTAGACTGGTACTATACAATAAAACTTCCTGTGCTGATGGAAATATGCTATATCTGCACTGTCCAGTATGGTAGGTGCCAGCCACAGATGGCTGTCACGCACTTAGAATGTGGCTAGTGTGGCTGGGGAACTGTACTTGGCCTCATTTAGCTTCATTTAAGCAGCCACCTGCGCTCAGAAACTACCATGCTGGATACAGTAGGAGTTTACCAGGCCCTCCTGTGGGGCACGCGCTATTGGAATTGGGGATTCGGGGGGTGGAGGAGAGACTGTGTTGGAGAACTTTTCTCTTCCTCTGTTTGCATTCGGGTGGCAGGCAGATGCGCTGGAAGTTACGGTTCAGCATGATGAAAGGGGGCCCTGGGACCCAGATGCTCTGGCGTTTGGGGAGTGGTGCCCAGGAAGACAGGCTGTCCAGACTGCCTAGACGTTGCTGCCCCCTCCCAGATGAGCAGGCTCCTGGTACACGAAGTGGGTACACACAGGGGGTGCGGCCCCGGGGGTGGGGTGGCACACACACTAGAGATACAGGGCATATGGGGTAGAAATGATGCATGTTTTGGAGAAATTCAAGGCTAGGCTGGGTACCTGCCTCGCATGGTTGTCGAGAGTGCCCGTGGCAGGCTGGGCTCTAACTTTTGTGTGCCAGCTCCAGCCTTGGTGGCTTCATGCTCTCAGGCCCTGTGGGCATCCCAGACAGCCCCTTTTGATCCCTCTGGTGGTCCACCTGCGCCTCAGACCTGACACTTCAGAGCCTTGCTCCTTCTCACTTCAGTCCTGTAACATTTCCCACTGGGCTTCCTGAGAACTTCTCTGAAGCTTGTAAGAGATGGCAAACAAGTTAACCATCCTGACCGATTAGTTTTGACAACAGTGGACGCTCCTTCTCAGGCATTGCATGTACAGCTGTTCAGTCTTGCTTTTGAAAATGTTCCAGTATTTCTGCTGATAAGTGTTCTCTCCCTTACTGTTACTTATACTGCCCTGTGAAATGATTGTCTTCTTGCCTACCAGACAGCAGACCTCTAGAAGATAAGCGTAGCCATCTCTTACTACCCTTTATACCGCCCTATGTGTCTGGTGAATGCTGACATTCCCATTTTAGCACAGGCATCTAGACCGAAGTCATAAAATCCTAGCACAAACAAGCATTCCTCAGTTAGCCGTGAAATTTGAGATACGGCTAAATACAGTGTCTCTTTAAAAAATAAGGGCACCTGGCTGGCTCGAGACTCTTGATCTTGGGGTCACGAAGTCAAGCCCCATGTTGGGGTAGATTTTACTAAAAATTTTTATTTTACTTTTTATAAAGATTTTATTTATTTGTGAGAGTGCACAAGCAGGGGCAGCGGCAGGCAGAGGGAGAAGCAGGCTCCCCGCTGAGCAAGGATCCTAATGTGTAGAACTCAATGCCAGGGGGGCGCCTGGGTGGCTCAGTAGGTTAAAGCCTCTGCCTTCGGCTCGGGTCATGATCCCAGGGTCCTGGGACTGAGCCCCCAGTCTGGCTCTCTGCTCAGCAGGGAGCCTGTATCCTCGTGTCTCTCTCTGCCTGCCTCTCTACCTACTTGTGATCTCTGTCTGTCAAATAAATAAATAAAATCTTAAAAAAAAAAAAAAAAAAAAAAGAACTTAGTCCCAGGACCCTGGGATCATTTAGCCAAGCCAGAGGCAGACACAACCAACTGAGCCACCCAGGTGTACCCCTTCACTTAAAAATTAGAAGGAAAAAAAAAAAAAAAAAAGAATTTGACTGCAAGATTTTCCCAGGCTCTCTATTTAGGAGGAAAGGGGAATATGATAAAATTCAACTGAGCTTGTATTATTCCTAGACTTGGAAATAAATGTTTCAGTCCAGATCCTGGACTCTGTTAAACCAGTGACTCTTAAACTTTTCAGAGTACAGACTGCTTCAGCACGGCAAGAAATTCCACAGGGCCTGCCCACTGTCCCTAGCCGTCCATGTCCCAGGTGTGGGCTTCCTCTTTGGGCAGATTCCACTTTCGGTTAGTCACAGCTTAGCCCTACCCACAGTATCTCTTCATTTATTGGGTGGATGTAGTGGAATGTGGTGGAAGGAAGGCTGGAATCTGTCTTGGTCCCTGGGAAAGCTGGAGTAGGCTTCCTGCTGAAGGCAGCGTTTGACCTGAAAGGGAAAGAAAAAACTCGCTTCGAACTCTGGGAGTAGAGAAACTAGGTTTAAGACTCTAGGATTATTCTGACATACACTTGTGTTGAACGAAGGGTATTAGAATTTAGCCAAGTGAAGGGGACGGAAGGTGCTCCGAACCAGGCAAGTGACTTTATTCAGTAAAAACAAGACAAAGGCTGTTCAAAGCAAAAACGTGGCTCACTTGCCTGAATGTCTGTTGTGCATTTGGAGGTGGTGATCATCCATACCAACCAGTTGCTAAGTTCTGCTTTCCGATCTAAGCCTGTCGTCTGGGTTTCTAGAACACCAGCATTATCCTGAGCTTCCCCCAGAGTGACTTCATGATTCCACAGAAAGGGTTTTGGTCAGAGGCCTCCACTCCTCCTCTTCCCTCCTGCTTCCAGCCTGGCAGTCTTTCCACTCCTGCCCCATGCCCAGATGAGCATCCTCCTCTCTGGAACCTTGCATCCCCTCCTGGAAGTATGTGGCAGCGGCCTGCATTCTTCTCCCATTCACGTTCCTGGACCTGGACCTAGACCTAGTTCTGGTCCATGTGGACCATTTGATTATGGGGTTTCCAAACAACTCCAGCTTCCATTTTTTTCATTTCCTTATTGGAGGGACATTTTTGCTACCGTTTGAAATTGGGCTGCAGGGGCACCTGGGTGATTCAGATGTTAAATACCTGCCGTTGACTCAGGTCATGGTCCTGGGGTCCTGGAATCAAGCCCCTCATTGGGCTCCCTGCTTAGGGGGAAGCCTGCTTCTCCCTCTTCCACTCCCCCTGCTTGTGTTCCCTGTCTGTCTCTCTCTCTCTGTCAAATAAATAAATAAAATCTTTTAAAAAAATTATGGCTTCAGTTTTAATTTGGGAGCTTTCAGAACATCATTTGAGATGTTATTTTCTTGCCTTTCTTCTGGGCCTAGAATTTTGAAGCCATTTTTAACTCAGGCAGTCTGTTACACCCCTATCCTTTCCCCCCACCCCACTTTTTTTAGTGGAGTATTTCCTGGATTTGCTAACCCTTGGATTGTTAAAATAGTCACACTCCCAACTCCCATCCCCAATAACACAATGAACACCCTTAAACTGTCCAAAAGTAACACTAAGTTATCTTAACCTTCATGCTTACCCAGATGAGATGATACAGGTAAGATGCTTAGCCTGAAGACAAGCACACTGTGAGTTTTCAAGAGACACACTTGGTAATTTTTGATCTTAGGCCTCTGTGTAGCTAGTTTTCCTTCTCTTGTTACCTTGGTTCCTGTGCCCATGAAGCAAACCTACCTTCTGTAGCCAGCATTCCTTCCACCTCCTGGCTTAGAGGTGCTGTTGAGAATTGTTTTTATTTACCTTTATGCCCTTTTATAGCTGTCTACTGCTACTCTAGAACCCTTGTGTAGTGCCTTTTAGCCATTGGGATTAGAGTCGGCTGGGTGATACTGTTTGTTAAAAATTCTGCTCTTGGGGCACCGGCTGGCTCACACAGCAGAGCATGGGACTCTTGATCTTGGAATCGTGAGTTCGAGGGTAGAGTTTACTTAAAA